TCTGACATCCATTTTGACCTTTTCCTTCTTTCTTGTCTTCTTAATGACTTTTTGTTCTCTTCACATATGATGTTCTTGATGTCATCCCACAACTCTTTTTGGTCTTCAGTCTTTAGTGTTTTCATGTATCAAATCGGTTCTTCAGATGATCTCTAAATTCAGGTGGGATAAATTTAAGGTCATACTTTGGCTCTCATTGACTTGTTTTCATTGTCTTAAATTTTTAAATTAAAAACTGGGTATTTTTCAAAGAATATGAAATCAAAATTAAGCATCTTTAAAAGACAGAAATGTGCTGGCAGGTCACAGAGGCATGGGGTGGGTATGTAGTTTCAAAACAAATGACTTTTATAGCAAACTCATTTGACTTAAGTTTAAAAAAAAATAACAACCCAGTCTCAGATTAATACTATAACTCTGATCACTGAAGTAAAACCATGAAAGCTAAGGGCAAGAGCAAAGGGTAAGAAAGAAAATGTAATGAAGCCACTAAAAGAACCCCTCCAATATTTTTCATAACTTATGAAAAAAGTCCCAAATTAAAAGGAAATGCTTCTCTAAAACACTACTTGAAATTAACAAGAAAAAGGAAATTTTAAAAACGTTTCCTTGCCATCATTTCACTAGCTCTTCCTCATTCACTGCTGTGGGATCTTTCTTTACCGCTACAGCCAAATGTCATTAACAGACAGCCTGTTAGGACTGTTAACTGAAAAGTATAAATCCCCAAACACAAGGTTCACCTGACACATACGTCAAGACAGAAAATTAAAAGGCTGATAAAATGTTACCTAATTAAGTGAAAACCAATCTAATCACAGAATTTGAAAATACTTTTATGCTAGACAAGCATGGAATTCCTAAATGCTCTTCTTGAAGGCAGGTTTCAATTGTTTTCCCAAAACACAAGCAAAAAAGTAGGGCAAAAAAAATTCACAATTCCTAATTGATTAGCTGGGGTTTTTGTTGTTGTTGTTGTTGTGTGCCGTGGAGTCGGTTCTGACTCATAGCAACCCTGTATAGGGTTTCTGAGACTGTAAATCTTTATGGGAGCAGAAAGCCTCATCTTTCTCCTGAGGAACAGCTGGTAGTTTCTAACTGCTGACCTTGAGGTTTGCAGCCCGATTCATAACCACTACGCTACCAGAGCTCCTTACCAAAATGCTTAAGTAAGAGAAATTCAGACATGAAAAATACCAACCCTATTTCTAAAGAATTTCCCAGAATCTATTTGGCTCCTGAGTTCCGATACCAGGAGTGTGTTAACTACAACTGGTTACTTTCATATTACGTAAACCAAACCATCATGGAACTAAAGAATTCAAACTCTTAAAAGAAATTAGGCTGTGGGCATATAGGAATTTCAATAAAATTTTAAAAATAAAATTCTATAGTATGTTTTTATAACCCTAAACTCATCAGTTTAAGAGCAGAACCTCTGATACACTGAATCTTAACCAAAATTCTTACCTGTTTGGCTTTAGAGTTCTTCCCCGTAGAACTTTTCTCATTTGTACTTCCATCCATTCCTCTAAGAACACTGATGAAATCTTTCTTAGACACAGTTGATATTAGCTTAGCACGCTTTCTAATAGAGCTTCCAGCTTCTTTAACTTTTTCATCAACGTTCTTTTGATGCTTCTGAACAGCATTAAATAACTGTACCACGCCCCTATAAAATATAAGACAGCCAGTATTATTTTAAAATAACAGTGTAGTTGAATAACAATTACACTAGTCCTGGTGTGGCACTGTAGGCTAATGCACTGGACTGCAAAGTCGTTTGAACTTCAAGGTCAGTGGTTCAAGCTCACCAGCTGCTCCTTGGAAACCCTATACAACAGGGTCACGATGGGTCGGAATTAACTTGACAGCACTTAACAACAACACTAGTATGCAAACTCTTCTAGGGCTGGGGCAATGTATTTTCACTGCCTATAAAAGAGGAAAGAATAGGTTCTCAAATCAAAGAGTCAAATATATGCCTAAATAAATACATGTGAAAAACAAGCATGTATTTCAATGAATGAAATTAAATTTCTAATACAGAGAATAAAATATGTGGATTGGTATGTGACTTTTTCCAGCTTTGATTTTTCTAAACCAACTTCTGTGCAATCTGAATAGAGAATTGCTTTTAACAAAAATAATGTTTGAAAGCATTATTACAGTGTGCTATGAATTGAACTATGTTCCCCAAAAAGATATGCTGAAGTCCTAACACCAGTACCTGTGAATGTGCTGTTGTCTGGAAATAGTCTTTCTTGGAAGATGTCAGTTAACAAGGTCAAAATCAGAATAGGGTGGTCTCTATTCACACCTGAGTGGTATTTTTAAAAAGAGGAAAACAAAAGTCTTTCTTGGAAGATGTCAGTTAACAAGGTCATAATCAGGGTAGGGTGGTCCCTATTCACACTTGAGTGGTATTTTAAAAAGTGGAAAACACAGAGATACAGACACAAAGCACATAGGAGGATGACTTCTTGTGAAGATGCATCTACAAGCCAGCAAACACACAGGACGGCCAGCAGTCACCAAAAGTTAGGAGAGAGGCGTGTAACAGTGCCTCTCAGAGCCCCTCAAAGGAAATCAGCTCAGCTGCTACCCTGACTGGGATTTCCAGCTTCCAGATCTGTGAGACAATAAACTTCTGTTCTTAAAAGTATCCACACTTTGTGGTATTTTATTATTGCAGCCCTAGGAAACTAAGACATGATGTACTGTGTGAAGAAAAGTCTACTGCCACTAGCCTCACGAAGCTACTAAGAACCTGAAATGTGGCTAATCAGAATTGAGATGTGCTTTTTTACACATCAAAGCCTGATTACGAAAAAGAGAATGAAAAATATTTCATTAATTGTTTTAGAATGATTACATGTTGAACTGGTAATATTTCAGATATATTGGGTTAAGTAAAATTTATGATTGAAATCAATTTCATTTCTCTCTTTTTCTCCATGTGGTTACTAGAAGATTTTAAATTAAGTGTTGCTTTGACATCTGAAATCAGGAGGGGCCTGAATGGCTTAACCAGAAGTTCCCTTATCCCCAATTGTGCTCGCAGATCATTTCTCCTAGCCAAATAACTCTCCTTATCTGGGGGATAAAGCATAATGCTGGCTTATGCCTGAGTAGCAGCAGGCTTCAGTTCTCTGCTAGCTCATGGAATTAATCAAACAAGCCAATCGCATCTTTCCACAGAAACCAGGAATTACCTCATCCTCTTGTTACTACAAAGCCTACCTCTCACAGTGTTCCCAAGCTCAAACCTGAGTGACCCTGCATGGTGTGGTGAATTCCTCCCCTAGGATGTTGATCTCATCTGTCGAGCATCGCATGCCACTGTGTTCAGCCATCCCCCATGATCCTAGGGCAAGAATCCCTCCCTCACCAATGGGGTATGAGGTGAAAAGGAAGTGATCAAAACAATTATACAGGTGGCTCATATTTATATCATACAGCATTACATAAGCCATGAAGATCCTGTCTAGCTCTAAAATTCTATCTATGAAATCTCTTTATAATTTATAGTAACTGTTGGGACAGACAATCAATCCACCATGGGCCCCAAGCATTCATGCATATTCTTACTGGGTTTTTCAAGACTGCAAGACTCTGATCTCTTTACCTAGGTCATTTTCCAGGTTGTGCTTGCAGTAAGCAGCCTTGAGGGATAAGGTAAAAGTCCCCCAGGCAAAGAGGAGATGTCCTACCATTCACTATAAAAGCAATAGCTTCCCTAGCATAATGCTCCTCTCCTGTAATGCATCCCACTGCAAGTACAAGGATCCATCTCAGGTGCCTGCACTACCCCTGTGGGAAAAGGGGGACCAGGGGGAACATGAAACTCTGCTACTGCTCTTACCATTAGAAACAAAGTCCTTGGTCTCTGACCAGAGAGTCTCTTGCCTTTTGTCAGTGACCAAGAAGCATTGGAGTCAGTTCCAACTCACAGCGACCCTGTACATGGTTTCCGAGGCTATCAATCTTTAAGGGAGCAAAAAGCCTCATCTTTCTCCCATGGAACAGCTGGTAGTTTCGAACTGCTGACCTTGCGGTTTGCAGCCCAATTCGTAACCATTATGCTACCAGAGCTTATATTAATAGTTTGTAAGGAAGGTAAAATTCCAAACCCTTTACAGCAGCAGAACAGATGTGTATGTATTGTGTGTGTAAAAGTGGCTGCAGTACACTTAACAACAACAACATATATAGTTTTAACAGAGGATATTTGCACCTTTGCTGTAAACAAATGCATGAATATGGAGTAGCATATAGGGAGCAAAGTTATGAAAACTACTTAGACATGTTGTTGTTATGTGCTGTGGAGTCGGTTCTGACTCGTGGCACCCTGTACAGGGTTTCTGAGACTGTGGATCTTTGCAGGAGCAGAGAACCTCCTCTTTCTCCCACGGAACAGCTGGTAGTTTCGAACTGCTGACCTTGCGGTTCACGGCCCGATTCATGACCACAACACTACCAGAGCTCCTTACTTAGATATAACCAGACACTTTGGAGGAACACATTTTTGGGCCTGGGGGCTCAGGACCATAACCTCAGATAACACTAAGGTCAAGTGACATAATGTGTCCACAAAGACAATGTTCTACATTTTAATTTGGTGAGCAATGACTGGCTCTTGAACAAGAAGTCTTCTAAGGAGCAATCATTGATTGCTCCCTGATTGGAGGGAAGAAGTGTTAAGAAAATCTAAGATACATGGAAACAACTAGTCCATTGGACTAATGGAATGTGGGAACATCAGTCTCCATGACCCTGAGACCAGAAGAACTAGATGGTGCCCAGCAATCACTACCAACTTCTCTGAAAGGGGTTACATTAGATGGTCCTGGGTAAAGTGGGATAAAATGTGGACCAAAACTCAAAATCATAAAAGATACCAGGTTTACTGCTCAGATAGAGTCTGGCGTAACCTCCCAAGTTTATGGCCCTTAGTCACCCTTAAGATCTGAAACCGAACTCATCCTTGAAGCTCAATTTTCAGAAAATTTATAGATGGGTTTATAAAGGAAATAATAACACTGTAAGGTATGCACAACTTAGAATAATCAACCAGTGGAAATCAAAAGGGCAGCATTTATCCAAGAACAAAGTTCAGAAGAATTAAGAAAGAGGGAGGAACAGAAACAGAAAGCTTAGGGAGAAAGTGGGATCCATCATGTTACAGTGAGTGGAATGTCATCAGTGTAACAAAACAAAACTATGTATGAATTGTTGAACGTAAAACTGATGATCTTCCCTGTAAACCTTCACCCAATTCACAATAAACTTAAAAATTTTTT